GGGTAACCTGTGTGCAGAGAAACAGTAGACAACCTACCTTGGTAAGACTTAAATTGCTGAGGCAAACAAACAAGTAGGTGGCTTGAATTTGATTGGTGATTGTCGTCATGTTGAAAATTAATACAATTGTGAGCTGTCCTTAATTATCGATGATTTAGTTCATAAATAATCATTATGGTTTGAACAAAGAAATGGAAGCAAATGTCAGTTATAGTGGGCGACCGAATAAGCACAGGTCGAAGATTGGTGATGGCCACAGTGCCTGAGGTTTTGTTAGTAGTTGATAACGACACATCATACGGTGCTGGAGACACTTAGATAGCTACTCGGTCCTTCGCGTGCTATCCCGGCCCCCCTAACCCCAACTTTCAACAGACAGCGCCGGTCCATTACTCACTGTGCCTTCTTCCCCTACCTACCCTTTACCTAATTACTTTGGTTTATATGCTTCTATGTACTGTTCAAATTCACACTTGTTTTGGTTTCTTCTCCATCGCATTTAACTAGGGAGTGTAAATAGATTGAGAGGTCGATGAAATATTTGTTTATGTCTATTTATTAAATTAAACAAATGCTTATAAATAAAATATTTTATATTTATTTAATAAACGAACGAACACGAATTGATGTGTGTTATATTCGTTTATGCTCACAAATAAATTTGTTTATCGGTTTGTTTATAAATTTTCTTATCGACTCGTTGATAAGCTCATTTCTTGGCTTATTTATCAGTTTATTTATTCGGTTCTCCTTTTCTTTTTAATATTTACATTTTAAATATTTGTGAAAATGAAGACTAAATTGAACATAAGATAAACTTCAAAGTTTAAATTATGAAACTTAAGTAAATTAAGGATATGTGGCATAATTTCACTATTTTTTACTTGCAAATAAAAGAAGAAAATGAGGGATGGTTGCCGAAGACTAAATGAATATTCGCGAACGTTAAATAAATAAACACGAACAATTCTAAAAATAAATAAACAAACACAAACAAGAACTGAACATAGACACATTTAAAAAATAAACAAACACTGATATAATTTTATTTATTCAAATTCAGATCATTTACATCCCTACATTTAACTACGATTTTTCTTCTCATTTTAAATGGAAATCTTGAAGAAGAAAAATTGAATTTGTATTGTTTTTGTTATATTATTTTTTGTATTTATCGAGGATACTGTGTATAAGATGATAAAATCTAGTTGTTACTTGATATGTTAGAAGGTCTTTGTCTTTGCTTGTTTTGCACATGTATATTTTACCCATTTTTCCATGGTTGATTCGAGATTATGATCCATAGTTCCAAAGTATGTAGTTGGCTCCCACAAGGCGGGTCAGTCAGTTAGGTGCGTGTCAAATATTTTGACTTATTTGATCTGAAATGAACAAAATGATTATAAATAAATTAGATTATGGTTTATCCGTTTGAATGTAGTATTTTTATGAAATGACATTTTTTTATTCACTTAGGATAAATATAAAATAGTATAAGTTCAATGATAATATTTAATTATTTGACGTTAAACGCTTAAATTTATGACATTCATGATACTTAAACTCGAGACCTCAAGATATAATAGTAATTCATTTACCGTCGAAGTTACTTAGTTCATTCTTATTAGATAAGATTTTAAATAAGATATTTTGAATTTCAGTTACTTTATATTTATTTCATAATTCATAGTTATATATACCAATAAATTATTTACATACTGAAAAATTACGCAAACACATATGGAGTTACGAAGTTGAATTATAGCACGAACCAAACGATTCGGTGGTAAATGAATTATTGTTATTCCTTAAGATCCTGAGTTCTAGCACCAGGATTTTAGAGGTGTTAGCGTTCAATGTCAAATAGTTGAGAGTTATCTTTGAACATATATTGCTTTGTACTTACCCCAGATTAATTGAAGGGAAAAAAGTTGAATTATATTTCACTTTTTGATCTTATTAAAAAAAATTAATAATTTTTAAAATAAATTATAAACTTATAATTGAAAAATATAAAACAGTATTTCTTCTTTGGAGATTAGCAAAGGATTTTTATCTTTTTTATTATTATTAGATTAAAATACATTTAATAAGATATATTAAATTCTTTCGAAATAAAATAAAAAGAATACTAACTAATTAAAGTCAAGTGCTTCTACGATTATGCATCAAATATTAAGGGTTTGTTTAGTTAGGAAAAACTGCACAGGCTTATTTAAATACGTTATAATATTTCAAGGGCTTTCTTAACAAATAAACCAGAAAATATATGGTATTTGCATTAATGTGTTCTACGTGTAGAGGGCCTGAGTGAGTTTTAAAATTAATGGGTTACACCAATATTTTTATGGGTAAACTATTTATTTGCTATCACATGGATTTTTTTTTGTAGTTTTAATTGGATCATCTAATTATTATTTTTACTTATCCAACAAAGTGGATGATTAAATGGGAACTTTTAAAACTTTGGAATGACGTTGATTAAGGTTTGAAAATCAACATGGGAATTGGATGATTAAGGTTTATAAAATCTAAAGAAATCTGGTTGAAATTTAATGAGTAAATGTTAATGGTAAATCAAATTAGAAGTAGAGAAGTCAAGAGAAAGGTAGAGATAAAAGAAGACAGAGAATGAGAAAATTGAGGTTTGATTTTTTTTAATACAAGTAGTTAGTTTTATTAAAAAAAGTAAATTATCCAAAATTATAATAAGGATTTATAACAATATCGTAAACTAAATACATAATTTGAGCATATTCTTATAACGTTGAAACTAGTCATTTTATATCATGTAAGGATCATACATAGAAAATGTTAAAAATCCAATGAAAAGATTCGAACGAAAAATTGATACACGAATAAAACTGGTTGCATCGACAAACAAACCACAAAAGGATTAAGCTATTGAAATACCACCAAGAATCGCAAATCAAAGCCAAGCATCGTAAGAAATTATCCACGAACACAAAATCATGTATCCAAATTCAATATGAGAGTCAAAAGCAAGGAATATTAACATGATTTCAAATAAGTGTCATTTTGATCAGTCGTTACGTCATTATATCTAACCCTAAAAAATATAAAAATAAAAAGAACGGTTAAATGGTCAACAAAAAAGATAAAAAATGTGTCACAATGAAATAAAAAAAACGTGTCATAAAGATAAAATTATTTTTATTAAAGAATTAAAAACAAAGAAAGAAAAAGGAGAGATGAATAATACACCATTATTATTCTTAGCGAATGGCGTAAATTATTATTTTTTAAATTGAATCGACGGTGCACAAACAACATCAAAATTTATATCGATGCGACTAAACAAAATCAAAAAAGAAAAAATTAATATAATCTATAAAAAATAACACACCCTTAAAAAAAAGAGCGGCTAAGATTTCCCCCCTTGAGTAATGTTTTAATGTTCTAGTTTATGTTGAATAAAATTCTTTACCCATATATTACTAGAATTGTAATTATCATGTTTATAAGTTGAGGTTTGACTTAAATATTTAAAATGATGATTAAATTGCTCAAATATGTAAGTTTTAGAAGATTAAAATTTTATTATATCAGATCATATCTACAATGTATTTAATTTTTTAATGTCGGTGAATAAAATAAAATAAAATATTAATATAATATTAATGATATTTTTTATAAAAAAAAGTAATTAAATAACTAAAAAAGAAACACAGAAAGAGATGAGGTACCAAATAAGTATTTAGCCTATTGTTTATTAAAAATCAGGAACAAATGAAATTGCCGCTGGGGGGGAGGAACAGAGAAAGAGATGAAGGGTGGAGATGTGAAGAGAGAAATGCGGTGACGGAGAAAGAGGAATCCAGAGGGAAGAGAGTCAATAATTACGGGCCACGCAGCCCGACAGCAATTATTCTGTCCCACCCACGCCAATCACTTCAATCTTCCTATATTATTTTAATCTGTTATTATCAAAATTACTTGTAAAATTTGATAATTTCTACGATACAACATTTTTAATATACAGTTGAAAGATAATATTATCGATTTTTTTATTATTTAAGTAATAAAATTAATAAAAATTATTTAAAATATTATTATTTTTATCTAAAATATCAATATTTTTTAATATTTTTATAAAATGTCTAACAATAACAAAATTAATAGAAAAAATAACAATATCAATAATAATAATATTAATAATAATAATCTTTTATCAATTTTATTATTTAAATAATAATAAAATCGATAATATTTTTTTTAAACTATATATTAAGACGATCACACGTACTCATCTCCCGCAAAATTTCAGATTTTGGTTTTGTGCTTTTCCTTAGCCTTAAGCAGTCCCAAGTTTGTTAGACAACGATAGCAACCCAAGGACGGCTTTGCTGGTTGACACCTATTACCGTCGGATTTAATTTTGGACTCAATTTTAATTTCTTTTTTCAATTAAAAATGCATGATTTACAGAATCTACAGACCATACTTTGTCGTTTTGTTTCTCTCTCCTCTCTCGCAACTTTTTTGTTTTCGTACCCCGTGTATTATTTTCAGTAAAACTAGCCGATTTATTTATTTTATTAACGCTAATATCATAAATAAGGATTTAAAGTATATTATTTTTTATTTAAATACTTAAAGTGTTTTCTTAGTTAAAATAAAGATCTAAATTATATCTTTGATTAACACAAGTATTTAAAATATTTTTTATTAAAATAGATATTAAAAGTATTCAATTGTTTTATTTGATTATCGAAAATATTCTTTAATTAATATCAAATGTCAAATCTTTTAAAATTTATATAAAAAATTAAATATTTTAAATATCTATTTTGAGAAAAAGAATATTTTAAAAAACTATTTTAACAAAAATAATTCTACATATTTATTTTAATAGAAAATTACTTTAAATACTTAAATAAAAAATATACTTTAGTATTGGATTCATCATCAGGGATGAAAGCAATGGAAGAGGAAGAGCCAAAGCAAATTTGGAAATGGATATACATTGGGAGTTGAACAGAAATACTCGTATATGATTGAATATTGATCCAGCGGTGAGGTGTAGTTTTCATCTCTGCTGGAATGTCCCCTCAAAGCCCTATTTTTCTACCATTGGTGAGAAAAATGTTGTTGTCAATCCTATCCAAATCACTTATAATTCAAATAAAAAGTCTATAAATTCAATCGATGTATTATTTTGGCAGTGTAATGGCATACTTTGAAGGCCATTTTTTTTTTGTTAAAAATAAAAGTTTTAGTTAGAAGTGACTCTCTCAATTTTTAAGGTATATCTAAGATCTATTTAAAATTTATATAAAAATTTATAAATTATTTTAAAAAAATAACAATAATAAAATTCAAATTTTATCTTATAAATTTAAATTTTTAAATTTTAACCATTTGTGTCTATACTCATTAAACTTCATTATCCATTACTGAGTATTTCCCCTAATGGGGCATCATTACAGGCTCTGCTTATCCATCCGATGATTATCATTTTACAAATGCCAAAACAGGTAAACAAAAATCCAGAAAGTAAAAAAGGAACAACTTAAAAACCAGTTAAACAGACACAAAGCCGCATTCCTAGTCGATCCAGCCGACCCTAATCGGACCCCTCACTGTCTAGCTAGCTCACTGTCGTGCCCAAACACAACACTGTAAAAGTCTGCTCTCCTCTCTCTCTTATGTCCCATGTAACCTTCAGAACGTGTTTTCAGTCTCTCCCATGAAATCCCCTCTTCGTATATAACACACAACAACACTGCGTAATCTACTATAATTTGAATTTGCTTCTGTTTTGGTCTGAAAATGCCAACGGATTCCGGAGATCAGAATAGGCGTTTAAGCAAGGCGGTTTATCCGGGAGCGCCACCTCCAGAACAGGAACAGCTACCCTGCCCACGTTGTGACTCTACTAATACTAAGTTTTGCTACTACAACAACTACAACTTTTCTCAGCCTCGTCATTTCTGCAAGTCATGTCGTCGTTACTGGACTCATGGTGGTACTCTCCGGGACATCCCTGTTGGCGGTGGCACCAGGAAAAACGCTAAGCGTTCACGCACTGCTGCCTCCCACGTCGTCGCCGCCACTACCAGCACAACCGCTAGTCATAATAACTTCCCTTTACCTGCTACGCCAGTTTTGTTGCCGATCTCGGGTAATCAAGCAAGTTTTGGCATTAGTGGAGAATCCAAGTGCAATGGTAGTGGTGGAAGTTTTACTTCATTGCTGAATACTCAAGGGCCTGGTTTTCTGGCTCTTGGTGGGTTTGGGTTTGGTATTGCTCCGGCACTCGAGGATGTTGGGTTTGGGCTTGGGAGAGGAATGTGGGGCTTTTCAGGAATAGGAGACGTAGCCGCCGCCGTCGGTGGCGGGGCTGCTGCTGCTACGGGAATGGGAATGGGGACCACATGGCAGTATGAAGGTGGAGAAACTGGGTTCGTTGGCGGTGGGGATTGCTTTTCTTGGCCTGATCTTGCTATTTCAACACCAGGAAATGGGATCAAGTGAATCTTCTTCCTTTTTCTTCTTTTTTTCTAGTGTAAGTTGAATTAGTGAGTGCCTGAGTAAAACATTAGCAATATCAAAGTAGATATAGGACTGTGACTCTGGTTTTTACTTCATTAGATGACTCAATGCCATGTGATTTGGTTTGTTTTGCCTACCATATTCGTGTAGAGACATGGCTCAGAGTGTGTTGCTCTTGGTTGTTGATATGCTCAAATATTTAGACAGTAGTGCTTTTGTTTAACCAGAAGGAATGCCAGTTAAACCTTATTCAATATGCAATCGTTTCAAACTGTTCTTGTTCTCAGAGACAACTGGAGCAAATTGTATAATGCAACCTTAAAAGGTGTTATAGTTACAATAAACTATAAAGAGAGGGAAAAAACGGGGTTGAATTCGGTAGACCAACATTTCGACCGTAGCACACAGATAGCAGCAAGAATATAATTTTATGGCGGTTAAATTCAGTACAAAATCTATAACTAGTGTTGTAAATGCAAGCCCCCAAACTGCAAATTTTCATCTGCATTAATGTTCCCAACTTTTAAGCTCCGTCGGCATGAAGTTTCTGGTCAAGACTCTTTGATTAACTCCTCTGAATCCAATGCACTCGATGCCCAAGAGCCCAAGTTACGCGTGTATATATATATATTGAATAATTTATAGACATTTTCCATAATATTAAATAATTTGAAGGGATTATAATATAATAATTATTTGTTATCCTTTTAGTTATGAACAACATACATTTTCATATGCCACTGCCAGGTAGGGGTGTCAAACGGGAAGGTGTGGATATCCCATTCTCATACCCACCTAATATTTTTGTATTCACCATCTACCCACCACCCATTACGGGTAATTTTTTTTAAATCTACACATGCTTACGAGGTTACATTCTCAAATCCACACCCATCCATGTAGAATCTTGTGATATCCACACCCATCCATATAGAATCATATGACCACTGACAAAATGACACGTGACAGTTTAAAAAATATTTTAAAAAATAAAACTCATTTTCTTTTACTTTGACAAAAACATAAAACACATGCATACATCGATGTGTAAGTGTTATATATTTTTGTTAAAATAGGGAGGAAATGAGTTTTTTTAAAATTAAAAATTAAAAATTAAAAAATATATTTTTATAAATTGTCACATGTCTTTTTATCATTGGTCAATAGGCTTCCATGTCACTTTCCGTGATGGAAGTGAGTGAACCCATTAATGATAATAAACACCATGTATGAAATCTAAAATATTAAAACATTATGTATGAAAGTGAGAATTTAATATACTTCATGTATGAATGGGATAATTAACCCAATTCATAATGTTCTAAAATTTTACAATGGATAATTAGTAGGCGGGCGGATGTAGGGCGGGCGGATACGAGACAGGTAAAGTCTCAAACCCATCACCTACACACTACCCACTGCGGGTATGACTTTTTACATCGAAACCCGCCCACCCCCACTAGACTTATACCCATCCCTGCCCTAATTGGAACAAGTGCGGTGCAGAATCCATAAAATTATACCCATATACCATTCCTAAATCCATATCTTCTAAGGATAACAACATTTCTTTCTACTATTAATACCACTCAATGAATTTATTTATTGAACACAATTAACTTCTCCAACGAATATAAATAAAGTAAAGCTATCTATAAGTCGTCTAAATCACTAAAAAAAGGTTCTTTAAATAGACAACTTCTTCCTTTGTTTGTGAGTAATCCTTGTAGAACTTGAAGACTGTTTGGGTGTGTTTAAAATAGAAATTTGACTATTTACCGTAATTAAATCAGAGTAAGACCGATAAGAGTTTTGGATTAAAACGAAGTTTCATTATTAGGATAAAAAATTGATTTATGCTAATGACTTCGTTCTTCAAAATTAAAGAGATTTCTTCAACTAGTTTGATATTCATATTAGGAAGTGTAATCCAAACGAGAACAATAAAATAAGGAATACAACTGTCGATGAATCATAAAACAGTGACTGTAATGTGATGTTATGGCCATTTTTTACGGTTTCACTTTTTTTTACTGTATATATAATATAATCACCATAATTACGTGTGATAGATGGGAATTTCCATAGTCATCTTCTTCCTCTAGGTTGTTCCTCCAATTCCAGCTCCTGCTGCGAGTTGCAGATTGCCATAGAAATTACCTGCACTTAAGAATTCACATTTACATTATAGTTTACATAAAGTTTACCTTTTCCTCTCTGTTAAAATTTCCCCTTCGAATGTAAAGTTGAACAACAATGCAACCTACTGGTTTTAACTAATCTATCTCAAAAAGATGAATGGAAAGGGAAAAGAAATTAAGCGAAATTGAAACCAAACATAATATAAAGCATCTATGTCTTCATTTATGACACAAAACAAACCTCCGACCACCGTTGGAACGCTTGACATAAGCCGATAGTAACACAAATATCATGATTTCAATGATGTATTCCACCCCCTGCACACCAACCCGAAAGCTGAAACCAGGAAAAGAGCTAGCTAGTCCAGTGTGCAAGAGATGGAATATAACATAAACCCATGCCAATGCCTGCTAGTATTTCTCCTAGCTAGGGATGCCGGAATTTTTATAATGGAGCAGGGATGTTGTTTTTACGTGAAAATAACGCATCAAAAGCACCCTTTTCCAGGATTCAGAAAATCCCGGTAATTTTGTTGGTGGAAAAGAAAGAAAAAAAGTGGTAGGGTGAGGTGGAAATCACCAACAATGGCCTGACATCAGCCATTGAAGGTGGGGTGTCCATAAATCTTTTACAATCTTCACTCCATTTTGTTCATGCCTACGATTGAGTGCACAATATCTTTAAGCCATCTTCAATCCTTTTAATGGACGGATTGCTTATGACTTCACCCAATAATTAATTGGTTAATGATCTTTCCACTTAGTTTACATACTCCATCTCCTTCCTTGGGTATATACATCAAACCTATAATCAAGCTCGATCGTGTATACGTCAGAATCCCAACTTTTTAATAAATTTGATAGGGAATAAAAGGTGGAAAAAATAACTAATACGGAAGATATATAAAACTCAAACCCTTAAATGCTAAACCTTAAATAACAAAAATAAACGTTTTACCACAAATTCGTATAAAAATATTAGTATGGTTCTACTAAATCCAGTTACTTTAAATTCACGTCAAGAGGAATGATCATTTATATATTGGTGCAATTTTCCAAATTTCCATGTATTTTATACTCAATTTTTTGTATTCAAGGTTGTACTAAAACAAGTCATGCATAACTGCATAAGTTTCCCATGCTCAACTATTTGTATGAAATAACAAAAAAATCCAATAATTATATTAATTTTTTGGCAAAAGGTTACCTGATTTTTTTGTATGAATCCCCTTTACTTTTCTAAAAAAATCAATGTGGTCATCGAATTTATTTGCACTCAATGTGACCCTCGAATATAGAAAAAGAACCTAATGTAACTCTTTGACCAACGGTTTCATCGTTTACCATTACGATGTTGATGCGACATTTCACAGTGCCAATGTGGCAATCCATGGTGTTGACAATATTGACATAGCAGTTAACGGTCATTAATGACGTGATTGATGGGCTAAATTAGTTTTTTTCTCAAGTTCAGGGGTTAAATTGATTTTTTTTAAGTTTAAGGACTATTTTTATTTTTTAGAAAAATATAAATATTTTAAATTTAAAACATAAAATATTAAAAAGTTAAATATAAAAATATCATTAATTTTTAGTATTATTTATTAAAAAATAAATTTTATTTAATTTAAAATATTATTATTTAATTTAATTTACTATTTTATTTTCCATTTAAATTACAAAACCCTTCGTATGATTTCTCATGTTTTTCACAAAACTGGTAGCTGGTTCACTCCATTTTCTTAAGATCATTGTTACTTGAACAACCAAGTAAAGGAGAAGCACGAATTCGACTAGATATTTTATAATTTCAATGGAAAATAAAATAATAAGTAAAATAATAATATTTTAAAAATAAACATAACCTAATTATTGAATAAATAATACTAACAATGAATTGTATTTTCATATTTAACTTTTAATATTTTTATATTCTAAATTGAAAATATTTATATTTTAAAAAAAAATCAAATAAATCCTTAAACTTTTAAAAAATAAATTTGACCATGAATTTGAAAAAAAAAACCAATTTAGTGAATCTACCACATCATCAACCACCGGGACTTCCACTTCAGCACCGTGGACCGCCACACAGAGATGGACCGAGGGGGTGGGTGGGGCAGTCACCCTTCTGAAAATTTAAAATTACTATATATTTTAGATTTTTTATATGTATTTTCTATTAAAAATATGTTTTCTTCCCTGGAATTTTATAAGTTAAAGTTCTCCCCTAACATAAGATCATATGTTCGTCCTTGTCGTCACATCAGCACCATGAAGTGCTACATTAACATCGTAACATTCAACGATAGAAACCATTGGTCAAAGATTATATTGAATTCTTTTTCTAAGTTTGAGTGTCACATTAAGTGCAAAAAAAATCGAAGATCATATTAGTTTTCTAGAAAAGTAAAAGCGTATGAGGTACTCATTTACCTAATTTTTCTTCTTCTTTTAAGTGCATGAAGAGAAGGATTATTTTATAGTCATCTTATCAAAAATACTAATCATATATAGAATTATAAAATATTTAAAATTAATATGAATTTAATATCTTTATTCATCCTTTTGACTTAAAAAAGGTCAATTTTTATGATTTCGTCATGCATTATAAATAAGTTATGAATTAATTTATATACTTTAATTTAATTAATTTTAATTTATTTATTTTAAATATTTTGAAATTTCAGTAATAAGTTACGTAAAAAATAATATAAGTAAACTATAAGGATTAAAAATGATCAGATTTTAAAAATATAAAAATTAAATATACAACAAGGATTAAAGAATGTAAAAATTAAATATACAGCTTATCCATAATACAATAATTAATAGTAAAATTTAATTGAACAAATTTAAAAACTATGCGTTTAATTAAAATTAAATTTGTGAAGTTTAAAAAATAATTAAGGAAAAAAGAGAAAAGATATACATAAGTTATGGTTGACCTCGATGATTTTCCATCTATAGGGTTTAAAAATAAGGGTTTTTCGTCCTCAATCTAAATTTCTCGACTAGTAGAACCCTATTTTTTGTTTACAGGGAGCAACAACAATGTCCCTCTTTGCAACTCCACAACCCCAGCAACCTCAGTCGTTTCAAC